TGACGCTTGTTTTGACTTCACTAGGAGGTCGTCCACATAAGCGTCCAAATTGCGACTGATATGGGGCTTGAATATTTTATTAACAAGCCTTCGGTACGTGGCCCCAGCATTCTTGAGTCCAAATGGCATCATTTTGTAGTAATAGTTTCCCTAGTCGGTGATGAAGGAGGTCTTCTCCTAATCATGCTTTGCCATGAAGATTTGGTTGTAGCCGAAGAAGGCATCCTTGAAGCTAAGTAGCTCATGCCCTACGCACTCATCGACCGGCTGATCGATCCAAGGCAAGGAATAACTATCTTTGGGACAAGTTTTATTGAGGTTGGTGAAGTCCACACACATCTTCCATTTGTTGAGCGCATTCTTTACTAGTACAATGTTGGCTAGCCATTCCGGGTATTGAACTTCCCGGATGAAACCAACTCTAAGAAGTTGGTCGACTTCATCAGCGGCCACCTTCTGTCTTTTAGGGTTGAGATGCCTTTTCTTTTGTCGAATTGGCTTGGTGTGTCGGTCGACCGCCAGCTTGTGGCTTATAACTTTAGTGGGGATCCTTGGAATATCTTCAGGTCCCAGGCGAACACATCAGCGTTCGCCTGTAGGAACTAAACTAATGCTCCCCGCAAGGGCTTTGTAAGGCTGGATCCGATCTTGACCATTATCTTTCCTTCTCGGTCAATCAGTATCTCTCTTGCGGGGCTGGATCCGATCTTGACCGTTCTCTTTCCTTCTCGGTCAATCGATATCTCCTGGAGTTCTTCCACTGGAGTCATCCTCGGTCGCTCCATAGCTTTCTCCATCTGAAGGCAAGCCTTTTAAATAGGTAGGGTCTCTTGTACAGCCTTGCCCTTAGTCGAGAGTAGGTAACAGGACTTGGCCTCTCGTTGGTTTCCCGAGCGACCTCGACTCCATTGGGGGTCGGGAACTTCAGCATCTGGTGATAGGTTGAAGGGATGACCCGTAAGAGATGAAGGGCGGTTTGGCACAAGATGGTATTATGGGCCGACTTGAGGTTCATCACCATGAATTGGACTTGAACGGTGGACTACCAGGAGTACTCTTCGACTGTCAATGGGAGAGTGATCATCCTTTTGGGCAGGAGAGAGTGCCCTGTGAATCCGATGAGGGGGCCCCTACATGGAAGCGGCCGAGATTTGTTGATGCTCATCTTGTTAAAGGCATCGATATACAGGCTGTCCACCGAGCTCCCCGTATTGACCATAATCCTCTTCACCTGAAACCATCCATGTTGTTATGACGATGGGGTCGTCATGAGGCGTCTCAACGCCCTCTAGGTTGGCATCTTCGAAAGAGATGGGTTCCTCCGCTCTCGGCTTCTTGTCACATAGGTCAACACGCAACGCTCATTTAGCATACCTCTTCTGAGTATTGTTGGACGACCCTCCAGCTATGACCGCCATTGATTATGTTGATGGCCCTTTATGGCTGGGTTCCGAGAGTTGATTGTCCTGTTGCGATTTAGGGCTAGTGGAGCACGAGCGAGACCTCCTGTCTGTCCTAGCTAGGACGACATCCCTCTTGTCTCTCTGCGAGAATAGCTTCTTCAGGTACACTCTTTAGATTAGGTCCTTAATGTCTCTCTTCAGGTTGCGGCAATCATTGGTGAGGTGGCCATGATCTCGGTGGTAGAGACAATATTATCGAGTGTCTCTACTTCATGGGTCCGACCTCATCTTGGGAGGGGGCTCATTAAGGTGCCCCTCCTTCTGGACCATGTTGACAGCTTCTGTGAGAGACGTGTTGAGGATAGTGAGAGTAGGTCGAGGTGTCGGCTCCCTCTTTCGGTCCCTTCTGTCAGACCGGTTGGAGGGGGGTCGACTCTCGGGGGGTCTCTCAACCACTCCTACCTTACTGGGGCCTTTAGCCGACTTTGGTGTCGGCGGCCACCACTAGTGTTGCGATAGATGTTAGCGGTGCTGCTGCTGCTGTTGCTAAGGTTGTGGCGGTAGATGCTTCGGTGGCCCTAGCTGCTGCCTGATAAGCTGGGGCATCCTCCATGTATGTATACCCGTGAGCTTTGGCCATCAGTTGCTCATAATTGGCGACCGACTTCTTGGCCAGTGAGTCAGCCAATTCATTGTTTTGCAGGCCAGCTACAGGAACGGACATAGCAACTAAATTTTTTGGGTTGTTGACCTCCAACCTCTTCGTCTAGAACCTCTTGAAGTAGGCTCGAAGGCTCTCTCTGGGCTCCTATTGCATCTGTATTAACATATGAGGAGGCAGCTTTTGTTTGGTGTCAGCCAAGAAGTGATATATAAACTTCCGGCTAAACTGCTAGAAGCTGCTGATGGACTTCTTCTCAAGGGCATTCCACCAGAGCTTGGCGCTCCCCAACAAAGTAATGGGGAAGCACTGACTAATGATAGATTCCGATGCCTAAAGCATGCTCATTATATCATAATAGTTCTGGACATGCTCGACAGGGTCTCCTTCGCCCTTGTACGTCTCCACGTGAGGCATCTTAAACTTCTTGCGTGGGGCGTTCATGAGGTCATCGGTAAGGGAGGTGTTCCCCCCGATGGCTTCAGCAATCGTTGTACACCCGATTATATCCAGATGCCTCATGGGTGGCCGAGAGGGCTGGATAGGCATGCTGATGATGGAGAGTTTTAGATATTCCTCCAACAATGTGATCTTTATAGTGACTGGGGTTGGGACTCGTCGGTGGCTTCTGAGTTAGGGAAGAGGTGCCGACGAGGATCCGCTGGGTGAGTTGACTGGCATGGTGGTGGGGTCGCGTGCTCGAAGCACTCCCTCCTCTGTTTGGAGGCAGTGTAAGGAGTCCGAGATGGGACTATACGCTGAGCTTCAGAAGGGGGTGAGCCCTCGATCGCTGGTCTCCGGAGGGCGGAGAAATGGCGGAAGTAGTTTGCTACAGTCGGGGAAAATGGCTAAGGAGCTTGCTGGTGAAGGTAACAAGATGCTATTGGAGACTCTAAGATATCTTCTGAGCCATCTCTTCGAGTTGGGCTTGAGTGACGTAGGTCTAGTGTGGTCCTCCAGGGATGGATTGGTTAGCTCTATGCTCAGAACCAGACATATTTGCTTGAAAAAGAAAGAAGGCCCTACGGTGGGCGCCAAACTATTGATGGTCTAAATCACACATGTAAACTAATATGAATTGAGTTGGTTAGGGACTGCTAACTTCTCTGAATATCTAGTCTTGAGTTGAGCTGTTCTTCCCTGCACAAGTGGCAACTCGTAAGAGGACGGGGCTTGTTTCCCCTGTTGTTCCTCTGACAATCAAGTTAGCAAGATACTTGATTGGGGGAAAAGATGAACTGACTCAGTAATTAAGTGCTATGGAATGGAGAAGAGATGCAGGAAAAATTGCCTACCTTCGCATTGAGAATAGCTCTTCTTTTTATAGTCATGTAGGATGGGCATTTTGGTCACTTTTGACCGAGTCTGAGCTGGTGGCTAAGTCAGTGTCAACTTTACAGGTGTCGGCTGTGGAGTGGTCACGAAATGGGCGCAGTCATTCGGCATTAATGAGATGGGATAGGCGGCTTACGAGGCTGGCGTGGTCCGATGTGCCATAAATAGTGCAGGGGATAGAAAAATGATAGCGCCTGCTAAGCATTTAATGTGATGTCATCGCGCTGACAGTAGGGGGTCGAGGTCAAAGTCGCTTTTTGGCTTGTATCAAGGGGTGTCGATAAGTATCGCCTTTTGAGTCGGTTTCTATAAGATGCCGGCAAATTAACTAGTTGAGTTGGCCTGTGGTGAGTTGTCTTTGATGAGAGGACTGACGAGCACCGCCATTCGAGTTGACCCAGGGTGATGTCAACTCGGCAAGTCGGCTAGATCGAGACCCTTGCAATCCCAAGGGTCGAGTTGACTAAATTGGGCGTAACGGGGGATATTTGCATGTTATTAACAAGGAATCATAATTTAGCGACTGAAAACACCATAACATAATTGACTTTAACTTCTAATGGTTCATCAATATCATGATGTGCATACACTTCTATTACCCTATGCCCGTGAGCATGCACAAACATTTCAGCCAAATCTTCATTCGAATTCAAAACCTTCAACCCACCATTATCCAAGCCTGCACTAGGAATGGAGTAATACAAACACCCAACATTATTATAGCCATACCCCAATATCCTTTCTTTTAGATAATCCATGCATATATCCTCTGCATCTGCGAATTCAACATTAAAGGTAACCCCAATGTAATTAACACTGTCACCAAACTCAAACTGCTCACCCTGTCTATACTTAATCATAATATGCTGAGACACTGCATGTAATGAACAAATATTACTTACAAATATATAGCACAAAACCCCTAATTTGATTTTAGAAAAAAAAAACCTATTTTGTAGAACACATACTAAATTACTTCTAACTCTGGCTTTCCCTTTATAATTTAGCCAATTTTAGGGTTATAGTTAACTCCTGCCCTACTAAAGCCACTTAAGCAATCTTACGACACCTCAGCTCTAAAAATTGAATTAAAATGATCTAAAAACTGAATTAAAATGACGTGTGCAGACACGTGGAGAGTCTCACGTCGGAATTTGATGTATCTCCGGCGTAAAAAAAAGACCCAGTTGGATAAGTGGGTCCACTGTAAATATCATAAAGTCGTCGAGGCTTTTTTAAATAGCTTATTGATTAAGTAGTCCTACTTTAAATACCAATTTGTTAATTTAACCATTTTATTTATGTACCTTAATTGCTTAAAATTCAAATTTCAATATGTTACATAGTTGATCGGACGGCTTTGGTTTTTTAACTTAAAAAAAAAAAAGATGAATGCGAGATACTGCCACCGAGATAACCTTGAAATGCAAGAACACGTGTTTGTATCTTAATCGCTAAAGATCCAAATGTTCCATACATCAAGTAGTTGATTGGACGACTTTGTACATATAAATTTATCAATCTTGATATTATATTGGCTTGTACCTACATTCTACAATGAAAAAAATGAAAAATGAAAAAGAAAAACAGAAAAGAAAACAGGCGGTAGTTATGTTTTCAAATATATTGATTCCCACCATCAATCCGCAAAAAAAATTTACACTAATACTGTAAACGTAGCAAAAAGATTTGATAAATTTGATAACATAAACTAGCGGGGAGTCAATGGACACACAGTAGACTCCTTTATTCCTTCAAAGTATCAGAGCTTGAAGATAATAACCAAACTGAATCGAATCTCCTTGACGAACATAAGATTACTTGGGCGTTGGCGATGCAACTTGCAAGAGCTCTATATTCAGTTCAAAGGTAGCCCCAGGCTGAAAAAGAAGTTGCAAGAAATTAAAACTGCCTTAGTGAGAAATGAGAAAAATATAATAACACAAAAGATAGAAACAAAGAGATCAATTTACGAGGACAATGGCAAAAAGGAGGTTAAATAAAACTCCACGGAACTATTTGAAAAATCTCATAAACAATGCTAACATTGAATTATGACGAGTCAAAATTTGTGATAGAAATTTGAATGAAGAGACTTTATGTGGGTGAACATGACACATACATGGTCACGTTTTAGACTTTTTAACCTACACAGTAACGCTATTTACGAGATCTTCCAATAGTTCAGAGGGTTTAGTATAATATTGAAAGTTCAAAGGTATTTTCTCTGATTTATAAAGTTGAACAACGTTTCAAGTGAAAATTAACCCTTCATTTTTAGTCCATTGCTCGTATATGTTATATTGTGGTTCAAAATTTTTCTTGCCAATCATGGAATGATAATTACCGGTATTTCATTCAGTCCTTTCTTTCCATAGCCAACTTCTGGAGGAACAATAACTGTTCTCTGCACAAGGGAGAGAAAATGGTGTTAACATATATCTAGTATTAAGCAAAATATTTATTCAGAAAATGTAGATGATACCATACCTTCCCTCCAACTTTCATTCCCTCAGTTACCGAGTACATAGCGGGTGGAGGTTTTGGTGCAGCTTGAGCGGAGTACAGGCCATTTGCATTGTCTACGAAGTCGCGCTTTCGTTCTTTTCCTGGTGGTGACCCGACCACGAATTCATAAGGCTACTAGTACACAGAAGAATCTAGTCAATTTTTAAATCTGGCTTCAATAGCAGAAAAGTTAGCGCAAAACAAATATAAGAAGGATTATGTAAATTAAGAAAGTGCTCGATGACCTTTCACATTTCATCAGATAAATTTTCTGCACCATCATGGGAAACAAAAGTTAGGAGAGCACAGGAGATCTAGTCTCAGAAACTCAGACACATTGAATTTTGGGCTTGAAATATTGATTTTTGTCACATCAGAGCGCCTACGACCCTCAAATTTTCATGTCTACATTAGACCCCTAAAATCTTCATATTTGTTCGAAATGGGGGTCTTATGTAAAAAAACTTAATGGTTTGAGGGTCTTATTGAAAATAACTTAACAGATTTGGGGGGTCTTATTTAAAACAAAAAATGCGTTTGGAAGTCTAATTTAGATATACACAGATTTTGAATTCTAATATAGAATTAAAAAGATGTAGGGATCTCATATAATAAAAATGCTAAAATATTTCATTGCACCCATTATTTTAGAAATTCAACTTCTCATTGGTAGTCTTTCACACCCTCCAAAACATAAATAGTGCATTGGATGACCTCATGATGACCCTCCTATTTCTACTGATTATGCATACAAAGTAAGGTATTAGTTCAATCAATGCACTTTTATTGCATTGTATTGAGAAACAAACTGATTATGGATACAAAATGACGATCATCCTAATTCTACTGTCCACGCGTTGAAGTTGGGAAACTTTTGTACAGGTTTTAGAATGAAACAAATTATGAAAAATCTCTAAGCCATTTACCTATTTAACCATATCAATGCAGGCATATGAAAACAACCTGCGCAATAATGCGATTTCCAGCTAAAAGTTTGGATTCGCGGCTTGACAAAGCTGTAATGCTACGATATATGCAGTCAAAATGAACCTACAAGATTATCAATTTGTCAATACAAGAAGTTTTACAGTGCCTCGCAAGTAAAAAGCGATATTGCGACAAAAATATTGTACGTTTTGCTTCTAAACAAACCTGAACTGTGGAACCTTTTTCTGCTACGGGGCCCTTTCCCTCAGTAAGATCATAGTATTTCAATCCATCAGCTGTTTCAAAAGTTAAAGATTTTACTAGTGTAACACAAAACCAATATTAGAAGGGAGGGATGTTATTTTTAAAAGGAGGAGCCAATAGAAGGATGATATTTAAAGTATCACTCAGAAACATCTTGAAAATTTATTATTATAGTATTGCAATGTCCACTTTCATTTCAACTGCAGTTTTATATTACTTAGTTTCTCCAATCGGTCAAAATATGTTTAAGCATTTCTTTTTATATGCAGAGTTTATCTATAAATCGATGTGCTAGCATCCGCCATTCTCATGTATTAGGTAGCACGAGTAATCTTCAATGTTGTACGATAATTCATAGGGAATGAATGTTAACCACAAAACTCTGATTTTTCATCAGTTTATGACTGAATCCGCTTGAAGGTAAGGTTCTTTAGGTGTCAAGGTCTGAATTAATCTGTTAGAAGGACAAATTTGCAGTAATCCTGCCTGCATCTTCCAAATCAAGGATTGAACCAAAACAGAGAAACTCGGTGGAGATTATCAATCTACAAACTCAAAGCCCTCAAATGGGTGTCCCCAAATCTCCAATATACCATCCAAAGTAATCAAATTAAGGGGAGAAAAAACAAATATTCCTCAAACCCCAATATATTATCCAAATCAAAGGGTAAAAAGAAAAAAATGTGCAAATTTGTGGCATCACTCCTCAAGAAACACTCAATCCCCCAAACCTCCAATATACCATCCAAGTTAATCAAATCAAAGGGAGAGAAAACAAGTATTCCTCAAACCCCCACTATATTATCAAAATCAAAGGGTACAAGGGGAGAAAAGATGTGCAAAATTGTGGCATCACTCCTCAAGAAACTCTCATTGCACAGGCTCAAAGCCCCACTATGGGGCATCCTCAACATGCCATCCAAATCAAATCAAAGTACAACAGAGCTTGCTATCTTTTTTGTAAGACACCTGCAAGTTGAGAAAGAAATAGCAAACAAAGTAACATTTCAGCACATGGTGTCTTCTATATACTCAAATGGGTACAAATTGAGAAGAGCAAAAGAGAGAAGAGAGTGATACTAACAGCTGGTTGAGTACTCCTCCATGGGTATATTCCTCCTGCTCCTCCTCTCTCGAGCCAGAGAAGGAGGAGGAGAGTCTGCTACGAGGTTGAGGGGCAGAACCGACATCAAAAGAGCATTTCTTCTCGAAATGGGCAATCGAAAACCCAAAGAAACTGTTGGGTCTCGTTTGGATTCTCTGAGGGTCTTGGGGGGCGAGGAGAGGAGAGTATCAAAATCATGGTGTAGGATTTTATGGAAGCTGCGAAGAGAGGCCATGGCCAGTTTGGGACTTTGGAGAATCGTGGGAAAAGAGAGCAGGCTCTATCCACACTTTTTATATTTGATTGTTGGGGTTATATCCAGGCATCTTGCATTTGTTGAATTTACTTATATGCCCCTGACTCATTTGTTTCCACGGAATTCTCAGAAAAACCATGAAATGAGAATTCTGTGAAAATCAAATTGCTCAGAAGAGAATATGAAATATGGCGTCACGTTTATAAAAAAAAAGAAAAATAAAAGTGAGATACTCTCCTCTCACAGCTTCTGAAGAGAAGAAGGGAGGAGGTAAACATTGCCCGTGCATGAAATTAGCGGGTATCAAAGTAAAAAAAGAAGGAAAGGTTTAATCCAAGTGTTCTAGCTGCAACAATGAAATACATGGTAGTAAATTCAAAATGACAATACAATATGGGGCCTAGGTGCAATTATCCCGAAAAGTTATTACAGCAGAAAGGCTTCCTTTGCGGTAATTGCACTTAAGAGTTGGTCAAAAATGTAAAGATTGATCATCATACTCTACATGCAACTTTTGACTAAAACCTTGTGCGTACAACCAAGGAACATATTTTCTATTTTGAAAATTGTCTGATAAGTCAGATCAGAACTATCTGATGACTACAGAAATAAAGAGGACTTAACAGAACCAGAGTGAAGTGTCCTTTGAATATAACATATTAGCATATCTTGTAATTTCAATTTACAACACTTTGATTCTTGTATAAAACCTGAACCTTGCAACATATCTAACATATGCACCTCCTTCCCAATTTGTGCGCGCACACAAAAAAAAGAGGGTGTAAAAACAAGATTTTATGTACTCTAAATCTTGACAAGATAGAAACCATCATCTTTGCTTTGTGCATCTACTTGAGTCTGCTGATCTGAACTAGCAAGCAAGTCAACTTGCGAAGTTGAGCTCGGCACGCCATCTAAAGTAACTGGCAATTCCTGATCTACAGATCTCCTCCTCCTCGGAGAGGACCGGTCTGGTTGTGGTGGGTCCGAGATGATCGGCTCTGGAGTCCTCGGCGGAGAATCTTTTTCTTCCTTCGAGTGCTTTCTTGCTTGTCGACGCCACATCTTGAGCGCCGTGGCTGTTTGATCGTCGAAGATGGTTCTCTTCATTTGTGCTCCCATCTGAGCCATGTTATCACTTTCATTTAAATATTCGAAAGTCTAAAGTTTCAACCCGTGTTGACTTTGATATTCTGAAGATTAAATTTGCCAAATGATAGACCACAATTTTTACTCTGTAGTAAATCACATTAACTGAATGGGAAGGGGTGAATTTATACTAGGGTTAATTAAGGATAGACCACCTTACCACTGCCCAATTATGGACAGAACCATTGTAGTTCAATTGTTGCAGATAGATCCCCTGAGTGAATTTTTGTTACTATGTTTCCCTCAGGATGTCTGTTTGTCAAATACCACTTTTCTCTCTCTCTAAGGGTAAAAGAGTCAAAACAATTTCACTCAGGGGTCTATCTGCAACAATAGAACTACAGGTGGTCTGCCCGGAAGTAATCCTTTATATTAATACCTACTTTTTGTTTACTTATCCTCAATTAACTGTAGAATAAATTTACCCTTCCCATTCAGTAAACAGGATTAACTACAGCTTAAAAACTGTGGTGTATCATTTGGCATTTTAATCTTCAGAATATCCAAGATTTCATGTGTGCGCGCCAATTCCAAAGAAACAACAGTTGGGAAGTTAAATTTTTTTAAGATTAATTAAAAAGTATGGAGGTAGACTGCCTGTCAGTGACGGGTAAGAGTATAAGTTTGAGGGGTTGAGAAGATGGAACTACTGCAAGTTATTTGAACAGAACTTCTGTAGGCTTGATGATTAAAGATTAATCAGTCAAGCTATCACCTTTTGTAGACAAAATGTTAGCCCATTCAGTGTTTAAAAATCTAACCCATGGTTTAGAGAAATTGGAGGACTGAGTGCATCCCATGATTTCAGATGTAACAGCCACTGGGCTGCCACTGATGTATAATAATATTAACAGGGAACACGAGTAAATGTCAAAATTATTCTTGTGGATCTTCAAAATAGCCCCTCCTCATTTGAAGAAGAGGTCCACTAACAGGTCATGAAGCATATAGCAATACAATGCATAGTTCTGATGGAAATTTGAATTTGACTCCAGGCCAAGTTGGAGCAAATTCAAGTTTTCATACTATCAAATAAAAAATTGGTAGTCTCTTTTAGTTTTCTCTTGACTGGAAAATAGTTGGTGTTTTATCCTACTGTATGTTGATGGAAAAATTAAAATATGTAAGGTAAAAGTTTGCATAATCTTATGGTATGGATAAGAGAATTGACAAGTCCATTCTTTATAACTTTTGTTGTCCAAATCCAAACTGTATTTCTGGTAATAAAGCAATCGAAAAATGTATTGTAGCCGACAAATTGGATTATGCTCTTTTCTTATGTTATACATTCCTGAATTAGTTTCTTCACTACAGCAAAGCATAGTTACTAACAAAAATAATGCACCTTATAAATTATGTCTTTTGGATAAAATTCAAACCAAAAAACTAAACAATGATAAGCTGATTAAATCATAAATCTAATTGACTGAGACACAAATATGAGGAACGCACCTGAGATACAAGTGCATAAAGAGGAAGAGTGATGTAGCTGCATACAACTTGGACGCCAATTCTGCATTAAACCCAAAACAATGATAAGCTGATTAAATCATAAATCTAGTTGACAATCTTCTACTACCTAATCTGAGTTCTCATCGAAGAGTTTATGCTGTATTTACTAATGATAATTTATCAAAGGAAGCATCTTCAAACTGTTCTTTCAGAACTGCAGGCACTTTTCTCATTCATATGAAATTCAATAATGGAGTTCTGATTCTGGTGACTACGACCATCAAAGTAAATTACAATACCTTCGTTCTTTCGTCTATTCTAACTCCCATCATACGTTATTTTTCTGTGTATTCATTAGATGGATCAATTAACACAAAATAATATATAAGTGTGGGATGTTTAACCATGTAGTACCACACAAAGATAAAATAAATCCTTATACTTCCTAGTTTGTATCACAATATTGCTCATTCCTTTTGGACATAAATACCATGCTAAGCATTAAAGACATGAAATTACTGTTCTCATTTTCAAAAGAAACACGATACAGTATTTCTCTCCAAAAAAAACTTATTTATTTACTATATGCAAGCAAAGTATGCTTCTAGACAATTTTTCAAGCGAGTATATCCTTAACAGCAATGTAATATTTGCATTCTTCTTATTTGTGTGAGCCACCATCAATCTGATGGGAGATACTCAGATACTCACCAAGATCTGCTTGATGATACATGCAAAAGAGTAAATAAGGTGAGACTTGAAAAATCACCGTCTCTCAGTTTTATGTATAATTGTTTTTATTTCAGAAGATTACATCCAGTCTGAGTTTTATCTTATTCATGCTCCCTTCCTCGCATGCAAAATACAAGATTTACTCTCAAGCTCTCCATTGATTTTGAGCTCCACCTATTTTTCTAGGAATTAACCCTAGAGTCGGTGGTAAGGCTTATAGTTGCACATGTGAAGCGTTTCCCGGTGCATTCGTGAATCGATTCCCTTCAATACACGAATTGGTTCCCCAAAATTAACGTACTACTTACAAGTATGCGGAGCACAAGGTCCCGTTAAGTGCACATGCTCAAGACGCAATGCATGTGCAATTGAGTGAAGGGAGACGCAAAATAGAATATATAAGCCAATGACTTTATTGTAACTAATACATATGTTAATAGAATGTGAAATGGAACCATGATCCCAGCACAAAGTATATGAGAGAAAAAATTACAAAACATAAAAACAAACTCCATAAGAAAAAAGTATTTAAGTATTTTGTATGAAAAATAAAATGGAAATGCATAATTTGCTTTCTAGTTTCTACTTTTCTACTATATACTTTAGAAAACTTTAAGCACACCGAAAAAAATTTACACGCACAACTGACCGATCTCGAGTCCCAAAGCAAGCTATCCCCCATCGACTCCAAATTTTCTAAGTGTACCCGAATTCGTACCATGGCCCGTTATGTACCGCATACTATGTAAATATAGGAAGGCTCCCAATGGACTGCCTTTCTTTTATCCGAATTTGGGTAAGTTATTGAAGAAGGTTTTATTTATTTAATCGGATATTTTGTTTGCTGGAGATGATATTGGTAAATCGAATTAAGCTAATATTGCTTTGATTCTAATTTAAGTGGTGCTAGTAAGGTCATCTAGTTTAAGATGGTGTTGGGTAAATTGGTGAATAATGTCATCTTGCATTAAAGATACACGGTGTTGGATAAATTGGCAGCGGCTTTAGCATTAGAAAAATTACTTGCTGCAGTTATTGACATAAGCCTGAGATTTCCCTGAGATAGATTTCAGGCAGAGAGATTCATGGTCTCTCCTTTTTGTTATGTTCTTGATAGTTCGGTAGAAAAATTTTTCTTCTACGTTTTACAAGCTTATAAACTAATAAATCTGAAATTATAATTCATGTATAAGAATATGTTTGATAGAACTATTCAATTTAACCAAAACTTTGGCTTTTCGGGAAGGTCGCTTGACCAGAAAGTGGAGATTGATTCCTTTTTGTTTAATTGCAGGAGTGTTACTTCTCCTTTACCTTCTCTAGCTATACGTCCAAGATGGGCAGGCTAGTCACTTGACAGTGTTATTTGACTTTAAATTTAACTCATCAACCCTATTACTGTTCCACCAACCCAAAATATTATTCCACCAACCCAAAATACTATTCCACCAACCCTTTTGAATGCTATAAATAGAGGAGAGTGGTAAAGGGTTAGAGCATCGAATAAAAATTTAGAACAAAGAGAAGAAAGAGAGATTTGAAGAGAAAAAAAGAGAGTTTTTTTAGCGTTCTCTTCTTTGTGCGAGTTTGGTGAGACATTAGAGTGATTCGCTTTGTAATGTTCTCTTTTGTGATTAGTGAAGTTCTCTGCTATTCTCGCCCGTGGACGTAGGTCATACTGATCAAACCACGTTAAATTCTTGTGTGTTGTTCTCTTTGTCTTCACTGTATTTATTCAGTGTTGTTATTCTCCACTCTTGTATAGACATCTTCTGTGTCTGTGAAACATCCCGCTGTAACAAACTGGTATCAGAGCCTATCTTAGAGTGCGTGTATCTACTTATCGTATGCTCTGTGGCTGTCACTAAAAGTGGATCCTCCACATCAGAAAATAAATTAGATTATCATTTAATTTTTAAAGGCACTGGATACTATTCACGAATACGATATTATTCATAAGTATTGTTACTATTTACAAATACGGTTACTGTTTATAATTACAATTACTATTCTAGTGGGCTTCAAGATGTCTTCTGCAAAATACAATATGGAGAAATTCTATGGGAGAAACAGCTTCAGTTTGTGGAGAGTAAAAATGAGGACTCTCCTAGTACAATAAGGACTGTTCAAAGTCTTATCCAGAAAAGATAAGTTACCAGAATCTATGCCCGATGATGAGAAAGAAGAGCTAGAGATGAAGGCGCATAGTATCATACAGCTATGTTTGGTCGATGAGGTCCTGCGAGAGGTTGTCAATGAAGATTTTGCCGCCATTTTGTGGCTCAAGTTGGAGAGTTTGTACATGGCGAAATCTCTAACGAACAAGCTCTATTTGAAGCAACGACCTCTTCACCCTTCACATGAAGGAAGATATGCGGATTAAAGATCATTTAGATGAACTTAACATTATTCTTATGGATTTAAAGAATATTGATGTTAAAATTAATGAAAAAGATCAAGCCCTTATTTTGTTATGTTCATTACCACTTCTTCCTATGAGAATTTTGTTAATAGCATGTTATACGGTAGAGAGATACTTTTTTTGAAGGATGTCAAATCAACCTTACATTTAAAAGAGATAAGACAGAAAGTGTCTATCATAGGAGGAGAGGATCAAGCTGAAAGCTTATTCACTCGTGGTCATCCTAAAAAAAATGTTAAGTGGTAGAGGTAAATCTAGAAATATGTCTAGATCAAAGTCCAGGCCAAGAAATAATATTGAATGTTATTATTGTCACAAGTATGGGCATATAAAACCTAATTGTCCATCGTTCAAAGCAAAGGATAATTCACAGTCGAAGTCTGGGGGGATGAAACCTTCAGTTGCCACTGTAACTAAAAAGTCTTCTAGTTCATATGAAGTTCTTTCAGTTAGTATTAATACTCATTCACAAGATGAGTGAGTTCTTGATTCAGGTTGTTCCTACCATATGTGTCCATATAAGGATTGATTTGTCACATATCAGTCTATTGATGATGGAAATGTCTTGTTGGGAAATAACATGTCTTGCAAGACTGTTGGTATCAATCAATTAAGATTAAAACCTATGATGACATTGTTAGAACATTGAGCAATATCCGACATATACCAGAGTTCAAGAAGAACCTCATTTTTTTAGGCACCATTTGACTCAAATGGTTTTAAGCTTTCGGCTGAAGGTGGAGTTTTGATAGTTAGTAAAGTCTCTTTTATTGTGATGAAAGGAAAGAAGGTAAATTACCCTCTATATCCTTGAAGGCGGTACAATGACAGGTGCTGTAACAGTGTTATCCTCAGAGGATTCAGATTCTAACACTACACGTTTGTGACATATGCGGTTAGGGCATATGAGTGAGAGAGGACTAGATGTATTGAGCAAACAATGTCTGCTTTGTGGTCAGAAAACTAGTAAGCTAGACTTTTGTGAGCATTGTATTTTCAGCAAACATCATAGTCTCTTTTAATACCGGTGTTCACAGGATCAATGATACTTTAAATTATATCCATTCAGATGTTTGGGGTCCCTCTCAGGTTTCATCGAAAGGTGGAGCTCGTTTTCTACTAACATTGATTGATGATTATACCAGAAAAGTTTAGGTGTATCCTTTGAAGCATAAGAGTGATGTGTTTGCAACCTTCAAACAATAGAAGGTTATGATTAAGAAGCAAACAGGAAAGAAAGTGAAGCGCCTCAGAACCGATAATGGGATGAAGTTTTGTTCCGTAGAGTTTGACCAGTTCTGCAAGAATGAAGGTATTGTGCGTCATTGTATAGTTCGGCATACGCCACAAGGGTTGCAGAAAGGATGACAGAATACTTTTTGAGAGAGCTCGATGCATGCTCTCTAATGCAAGTTTGTCAAAATATTTTTGGGCCGATGCAGTCAATACAACTTGCTATTTGATAAACAGATCTCCTTCTACAGCAATTAATTTTAAGACTCTAGAAGAGGTATGATCTGGTGCCCCTGCTAATTACTCTTATTTAATAGTATTTAGTTGCTCTGCTTATTTTCATGTTAATGATGGTAAACTTGAACCCAGAGCAAAGAAAGCTATCTTTCTAGGATATGCTACTAGGGTGAAGGGATATAGATTGTGTTGTTCTGATCCCAAGTTACCTAAGTTTATTATTAGTAGAGATGTTACTTTTAATGAGAAATTCATGTTTCACCGAAGAAAGAAGTTTGTTATTGATACCATAGGTACTGAAAAGGAGTCTAGCAAGCAGGTGAAGCTAGAGAGCTCAGCTTCAAAGAGAGTGCTTGAGGACGCTCATGTTGAACCAGTTGATACTACGGAAGGTTCAACCTCAAATGCTGACACATCACAAGAGCAACACTACAATA